GGTAACGATTTCCATATTGTAGAAGAATTTACCTGACACGGTTTCCCAGAGCCCCGGGATGCCGTGCTTGTCATAAGCCTTCTCGAATGGCCGGAAGGTAGTCCGCTGTTCAATTGGTAGATCGCTTGTGACGATGTTCGGATCCTCTTCTTCCCAGAGGTACCGGATCTGAGACTCATCGATCACACCGGTTCTGAACCGTTTGTACTTCTTGATCTGGTCCATGATAGGCTGGATCCTGATCTTCAAAAGATTCAGCGTTTGGTGATCTTTCTTTTTCTGAGCTTTTAGCTGCTCCTTAGTGAGCGGCGTTGTGGGCTTTGGCGGAGGCGGAGGCGCAACCTCAAGGGTCTCGAGTACCCTCTTCTTACGGTTCTCAGGATCCGGAAAATGTACTGGCGAGGTTTTGATGTACTCGACTACCTTACTGAAATACTCGTACCGTGCCTCGTTTCCTGGTGCTTTCAGGTCGTAGAAGTTTCTCTTGGAAAACCCAAACATTTGCCGCAGCAACCCGGTCTCCGTTTCTTCTCCAGTAAGCTCCTGGACTCCAAGAAGTAAGACAGGATCAGTGGGAGGGATCGACCGCAGCAAACCCAAGAAGGTGGAGAGAACGGCTTGCCCAACGGTTTCGAACCAACTTTCTATGTTGGGAATGTAGATTACACTTGGCCTATGCCTCTTGACCTCTGCAAAGAGCTGTATGACAGCTGCTTCCGGGGACCGAGTTGAATCACTAAGGAGAGTCGGCAAATCGAACGATTGCACGTGCAATCCTTCAAAGTAATGCAAAATGGCAGCCGCCAAATACTGTTGGCCCATGCCCATCAGTCCGCGAAGAAGCATTCTGGGCCTGAAAACTCGCGACCGGTCGAATTCCTGCTGCATCTGCTCACGTTGGAAGCTTCCCGCGCCCTCGGGCTCTTCAAATTGTGCTTCTTCCAGAGCAGTGAGCCGCTTTCTTTGCGGAAGAATTTCGGAGAGCAGGGCTCTAATGTCCGCCAGAGGATAACGTAGTAAGGGTTCGACTTCCTTTGGGAGCGGCGAGGCCCCGGATGAAGTGGACCTCTCTGATGATGGAACCATCTTCTTGATGGCGAGCATGAAGTCCTTGGGGGTGACATCGATATTCTTCGGATCGATAAGCAGCTTCCTATCGGATTTGTAAATTTGGGGATATCTTCTTTGCACTGCATTAAGGGCGGCTTCTGTGCAAAGAGCGCGAAGGTCGGCTCCTCCATAGCCCTTGGTGATCTCAGCCAGCTCATCCTTGATATGGCCCGGAAGAGGCGGATCCCAGCCCTTGGTATGGATATCGAGAATAGCGCGTCGACCTTCGGCATTCGGCAAGGGGAAGTAGAACTCTCGATCAAAACGACCCGGACGGCGTAGAGCAGGGTCAATCGAATCAGGTCGATTGGTTGCACCAATAACAATGACCTGGCCACGGCCATCCATGCCATCCATCAACGCTAGCAGAGTAGAGACGATAGATGCATGGATCTGTTCCTGCTTGCTTGATCTCACAGGAGCCAGACCTGGAGGTAGACAAGTCAGTAATGTTACTAGGACCCGTTCTTCAGTTGTCGTTCACTTACCGTCAATTTCGTCGAAAAAGATAATGCTAGGCTGCGTTTTACGAGCTTCCTCAAATAGCAGTCGCAGCTGCCTTTCAGCCTCTCCCACCCATTTGCTTAGTGCATCGGCACCTTTTCGCATATAGAATGTGACTTTACGACCCTCGGAGCTGACACTGTTCGCTAAGGCCCTGGCCAAAAGTGTTTTACCCGTTCCAGGAGGACCGTGGAAGAGAACTCCTCTAGGCGGCACAATGTGGAAACGTTGGAAGATCTCCGGGTATAGCAGAGGAAGGGACACCATTTCCTTCAACTGATCAATATGTCCCTGCAAGCCTCCAACACTATCGAAATTGACACTCATATCCACACCTAGTGGGTCTGCATCCGCAAGCGCCTGCTTATCCTTGACTTTGCCCAGGTTTGCCGGTGTCCCTGAGAGACCCTGCGCAGCGTCGTGTGTTTGAGTCTGGCCGGGGAGAAGACCGGTGCCGTGTGGCCCAAGAGCAGATCCCACACCGGCGACGGAGCCACGTGGGTGATGCAACCCTTCATCATCGCTGCTATCACTGTCAACGCCTCCAGTCGCAGCAGGTGCTCCGGGCGGAGCCAGAATCGCAGCTGGGCCACCACCTCCGAAAGGCCCGTAAGTAGGGAATAGGGTGCGTTGCCAGCTACCGCCGCCACCACCCCCGCGGCCACCACGGCGCGAGGGAGACTCATTGACTTCGTTCTCGGCTTCCTCGATCGGTAGAATTAGGTCTGGCCGTATGATTCGATAATCCACATCCTTGCGGCTGCGCCGAGGTTTTTCATACACAATATCCGTCTGCAATCTTCTACGAGGTCGGCCACCCCTCAGATCCTCAAGTTCTTCTGCGAGTTCTTCTGCGATGTCACCTGCCGCTTCGGATTGCCCACGAGATCGAGACGCCCTCTTGCGAAGCCCAGGACGCCGTCCGGCGGTGCTGTCCTCTTCATCATCGCGTGCTTGACTGGCTTTACGGGGAGAGCCGTTGGATTTTCCGGTCTGGGATACCTCATCATCATCGTTCGAGTCTTCCTCTTCGGGTTCAAAGTCGCTCTCCTCATCATTTGGTCGCTTGCGTTGAGAACTCTTCGGTTTCTTTCGGCTGGAGCGACGAGGCCCTGAGGGTTCCTCTTCCTCTGGCTGCTCGACCTCCTCGATTTGCTGGCTTCTGTTTGGACGAGTTCTTCTCCGTGTTACTGGGCCCTCATCTTCGTCTTCATCCTCTTCGTGCTCAGCACCCTCGTTCTCAGACTCGGGAACAAATCCCTCGTCAGCTTCTGCCTCTCCTTGCTGGCCAACCCCAGCGGATATGGGCCCTTCTTCGAAGCTGGCCTGCGCACTTTCCATAATCTCGATCTGAGAGCCTTTGATTTCTGTTGTCTCTTCAATATACTCTTCCTGCTTCTCCTGAGTCTCTTCATCCTCTTCCATAACCGTAGGAACCTGCTTCGATGAGCGAGATCCGCGGCGATTTGGTCGTATTACTTCAGCCTCTGGACTATGTGTACCTCGTTCGACTGTTTCCACATGGCGACCTGAGTTGGTGAGCGCGTAAATGTCTTCCGACGCGCCTCGTGTACGTCGGGTGACTCGTCGGTTTCCTTGGTCCTGTTGTGGCTGTCGCTTCAAAGCATCACCCAATTTCAGCGTGACCACGGCAGTTTTGCGTTTCTTTGGTGAAGCATCTTCTGCTTCATTGTCGTCCTCGATGCTACTTGAATCGGCTTCATTATAAAGTGGTCGGTTCGTGGCCGCCCTTCGCGCGACTAGGCCTCTTGCATTCCTCTGAGCGTTGACATCAACTTCTTCCTCCGACTCTTCATAAGACAATTCCTCATCCTCACTGAAGAAATCATCATCGTCAGACACAATGTCATCGTCGGAACGGCGACGAGCTCTCTTCTTCGATGGCTTGGCCTTCTTCCTCGACTTGGAACGCGAGACGGAGCGGCGGGATGAGCGAGGGTGGTCGCTGTAGTCGTCATCGTCCGAATCGGACTTGTTGACGATTTCTTCGATTGAGCGCTTCATACGAGCCATGGTATCGCGCCAGAAAGGCTTGAGGTTTGGATCTCTTTTGATGATCGCCATGTGAGCAAAAACGAATTGGTTTGAGACAAATTGCCACGTGATAGGTCATTGAAGACACGAGAGATTCGCGCCCGGGGAGGCTGGTGGGGATGTAGGGATATCGATGGAACTCACCAAAGACTGAGTGAATGGAAAAGTAGAACGTATTGTCACGTTAAACAAAAAGTAAACAGACCCAAACAGACACTGCCATTCAGCACAAGACAATGGTATTGTTTCTCATGCAATCCGACAAAGACCTAAGCTCCCCTGCAGACAGACACGATGCATCAATGTTGGGGGGACGACGTGCCGCCCGTGGACAAGAAACGGTTATATATACCACGGGGCTACGGCGAAGCGCAAAGCGCAGGCCCCGGGAGAGAGAAATCGCAGTGAATCTCACGACAAAGGCCAGTACGGGAAGGAAAGGGCCGATCGCATCCAGTGACTAAAAAACAGGAGATGGCGCACAAGAATCAAAAACGAGCGAAAAACGAAACGGTCAAATGGGCCAAAATCCACGCTGCCACACAAGTAACAAACATCGAATAAACGGGCGTGGGACAAGAAGATCGAAGGGCGGAAAGACTTCGCGCACGCCTTTTGCCTGGCCTGCTCCAGCCACAGCTGGCCGTCCGGCTAGTCCTGCCATTCCCGGGGGCACGAGCCACAGACTCGCGCCGCAGCTAGGCCTCCTTTGGGGTTAGCGCTCCGCCGCACGTGCCTTCATCCGCGTCATTTTGCCCATTTTGCTCCACGGCGGCAGCAAACACCACTCCGTTCCATCGATTTTCCGTCGTTGTGTAAAAACACAACAGCTCAACCCTTTCATCGTCCTCCCTTTGCCGCACCATCACTCCCTCTTCCCAACCACGTAGAGCCCACTAGAAACCATCTGTAAGCCTAGTTACAGTAAAGCTCTAAGCTTCGATGCGCAGATTCGGTCAATATCGACCGCTCTCCGACCGGATTTCGCCGTAGTCCAGGGCGCAAAACCGAGGTGCCAACAGATGGAAGAAGGAAGAAATAGGTTGGTCAGGAACCTCGACCTTTCCCCAAGTCCTCGAAGCTTATCGTCCTTAGGCTCCTCCCCGCCTGTCCATCATGATTTAATGCAGAGCCGCTTGCCTAATGCGGCTTTAGCGACGACTCTGTCATGTGATTGCTGAGTCATCGATTCTTCTTCCATCCACGACTCAGTTTGGCTTATATATATATATATATATATAAATATGCACCCCGGAGAACCAGAATCAATCCACTACCTCTAATCTCGGCCCATAAAACTTGACCAGACAATACCTATTTCCCCACCCAATATGTTTCGCCGGTTGCCATTAACCCGTCCCCCACCAACTTGTTTCGTCTTTACTGCGTCCCCATCTCGCAGACCATTTAGCACCACTGGGAGCAACTTGAACACCAACGAATCCAGTTCGTTCAAAGAAGGGGTAAGTGCTTCCTAGCTTTTGTTGTCGCCATTGTCGTAAATTAAGTCATGGACCCATTGAGACAAGGTCTCTATAAACAAAGACACTTTCATATTACCTTCAAGTTTGGAAGGCCAAATAACCAGATCCCAAAAAAGGCTAACTCATACCAGGTATCTCGGTACAAACTTTTCGCAAGTCCGTTTGCCAAGGTCTTCTTGGGAGCCATTTTCACATACCAAGTGATTTACTGGACATGGCTGAAACTTGAAATGGATGAGTCGAAATATATCAAGAATCGTATGTGTTTATTGAATTTTCCTATTATTTTTCTGTTCTTTGCTTCCCGCATTGTTCCTAACAATTCTTCACAGAAGAAGTGGCGACTCTGGAGAAGCAGGCTAGGGAGCTGACGGGGACCCAAAAATAAGGGATCCTTATTTTAACCTATGTGAACAGTGTACTGTATATACCCCGTATGTCAATGTAAGATCTGACGCTACTCTCATATCATTTAGAGCTAGTTTGGTAGGCTCAATATGTATGTACGGTATCCTTTAAGAGGATTCTATATATCCATTAGGCCGAGGCTGGCGCTCACTCCCACAATTGCCACAGAAGCTATGTGGACAGTATAAGCATTGAGCGGTATAAGACCAAGAAAACGGACCCTGCGTACACTGACACTGTTCTTGGGTTAGCCTATCCTTTGTCTCCAAAACCAACTGATCTGGAATAACTTACGCAGTAGACGAGGTTCCCATAATGGGATTGAATGGCATCATCGGTCTTATATCTTTTCTCCATGGCCGGAATATCTGCCCGAACGTAGTAGTCTGAAGACGGTTGCGGGGCGGAGAATTTGCGTTTTCGTAAGTTCGTCTGGTCGGAAAGAGAGTTAAACATAGGAAAATTGTTTTCGAAAGGAGTGTTCACTTGGCGAAGTGAAAGATCATGTACTTGTTCTGGGGCCGCCATCGGGGTTTCATCCCGTGGGTTCTCCCCCTCAGAGTTACAGACACTGCCGACAGTCTCATCGTCGCTCACATCATCTGCTGGAGGCTCGCCATATCCATCTTCGTGCGTTCCGATTGGTTCCTTTCCTTCGCTGCGTTCTCGGCCTTTGGTCAGATGCCCCGAAGGGAGGAGCCAATCCTCGATCCGCTCGCCATTTTTGAAGTGCTCAGAATCTATGTGATTGAAGCGCTCATTCCACGCGGCAAGACCCTGGCCCTTTAGTGGGATGATGTCGCGACAGAAGCCGCACCAGAATTGCGACTGCCCGTGCGGACCGATGCTGTTTTTGGCCAGTGCAGTCTGCACCTCATTATCTTCTGCATGGTGATGCTTTTTTAGGTGACGGGTATATTCTCCTTGGTCGTAGAATAGGCGAGCACAAGATCTATCCCCTTGCGTAGCATCGGGAAGGGTGCAGCGCCAACTCTGCAAGGGAAAATGCTGGGAGTTCTCGTGTCGCTTCCAGTCAGCTTTGCTACCAAAGGTCTTGCTGCATTTTTCAAATGTGCAACCATACGGTCGCTCATGGCGCTTCTTATGTTTCCTTGAAGTTGAGATGTTAGGACTCTATTCCAGATAAAAGCGACGTATGTTCACCTACTTCATTTCGCAGCGCAAACGCGTGCGCTTTGTGCAGAATTCACATTGTATCCAGCCTTTTTTGTCGGACTTACTGTCAGGCACCGCCTGCGAAGCAGCCTGACTAAGTTCTGAGTTCCCGGACACCTGGTCTAAAGCTGCAGATAGAATCTTTTGCATCATCTCCCGCTTCTGGTCGGATAGTCCGTCATCCCGCTCAAGTGTCTTTACTTTGTCACCCATATGGTGGCTATGTCTGCGCTGGCTGTTACCGCCATCATTGCTACTGCTATTCATCATTCTTGCCATGACGTTGACCATGTTAGTAGCCATCTTGGATACCATGTTTTCCATACTATCAGGTTGGGAGTATCCTAGGCGAGAAGAAGTCGAAGGGTCTAGGTCCGTGGTTGAGCTCAGATTGAGGTTTGTCAGGGCCGGTAGTTCAAGGCGCTGCGTAGTATCTCTTGCAGGCAGCCTTGGTGCACTATCCAAGGTAGAATATCTCCGTTGAGTCTGGGGGTCCTTAATTGGTTGAAGGCTTGACTTATTAGATGGCCGAAAGACAGGCGTATCTGGAGACCGCAAGCTGTAAAGGTCCTGACCGGAATCCCTCCTGACATATTCTGATTCAGAAGCAGCAACCGTGACCTCATCCGAGAAGCGGTCGGCAAAAGATGAAGGCTCAACTCGTGGCTTCACATAAGACTCATACCAATCATGCGACCTGGACGAGCTTAATTCTTGCTTTTTCTAACGTATTCACAGACAACTTACCTTTTCAGCAGTTCATTGGTATCCTCGTCATTGTGCATCCGGGAGAGATGCTGACGGAAGTTGTCCAACCGCGGCCATTCTTTACCTCGGCGTGGACAGTTACTCCCAAAACACATGTACAGCACTTTAGGGCCGCGCTCTGGTTCCTGCTTGTGGACGCACTTTTTATGTCGTGCAAGGTCATTGATGGTGCCGAAGCCTTCCTTCCGCGTACAACCGGGCTCGTCGCATTTGAACAGCTTTCTGTGTCTCGCTTCATGTTTCCTGCTGCTAATCAACTTCATGGCTCCTTTGCATAGTAATTTTGGCAAAACATGCTTGCCGAGAGGAAGCATACCTCTTGTCGGATGGACACTTGCCCGTCCAAGGGCAATTGGGGTAATCACATGTAATCACGTCATGACACATCAAAGATGGTGATTCTGCTATCTCCAGCGCATCGACAACTGTATCACCACATTGGGATGGACCGAGGTCCAGCATTGACGCTCGATCTTCTTGTTCATGTTCATGCGGCGCCAAGAATGGGCTGCTGACGGAATCAACCGCGTAAGACGACGTGGTGACCGAACGCGTGGTACAGCTGCGACTACAGTATCCCGAATCTGAGGGGTGGAAGCCATTATAATGGCTGTCGCTCTCGGAAGTTGCGCTATACTGCCCCGTTGAATTTTTGCGGCCACCCTCAGGCGTTTGCTGAAGCTTATTCGCATTAGGAAACACCCATGCCGACGTGTTCACCGGCACGCCCGTTACTTGAAGCGGGTTCCACGCATCTTGATTGCTCGTTAAACGCGGGTGATGGTACTGAGAAACGTCCAAGCTGGGTTGAGGCGGTGGTGGCGATGTTTGCTGCTGATGTGGTGGCCATTGGTTTAACATAGATAGATGGCTGTGCGGGATTACTGCGGAGTCGGGACCGAACTGCAGGCCCAGAAAAGATGCTGGATCGCTTAGAGCGTATTCAGAGGTTACAAACCCATCCGATGAGAACTCTAACTGCGGTGACGTTGGTGCGACCTGCCGGTCCAGCATGCCTTGGAGGATATCCCCCGAGTTGTCCCAAGTCAGTCTTTTGGGGTTAGGCTCCTAAGGCAAATGGGCATAGTTAGTTCACTAGTCAAATATTTCCCTGACGGTTGACAATTGAGGTAGGACTAAACGAGACCGGACGATAGTCACATACGCTCATAGCTGTCAAGTCAGCTGTCTAAAATGACCTTCCCGATAATCGTTTCCACGTCTAGGATGTATTGACAAGCCAAAGTAGTGGGGGGTGGTGCGTCAGGATAGCGCGTGAGTTGAGTAGCGGAGTGATTTATATAAATAATTAAAGCGCTCATAGGCCATGGGTCTAATGTAGTTTCTTTTAGGCACTATCCGCAGTCAAAATGGTCTTCTTGTAGAAATGATGATAGTTGAGACCAGACCAAACATAGTCAAAAAGAGAAGCCGATGAGAAAGTCGGGCAGTGAGGCTGAGTAAGTTCTGAGATGAAACATAGACTGGGATGGGACCGTGAAGAAGATCCGTTTTTAAATAGAACAAGGTTAATTAACACACTCCCTATATATAATTAATAAAAGAAACGACAAGGGAAGACGAGAGTGAACACTAATGTCAACGGCAGAAAAGAAGGGAAAGGATAGACGATGTGATCGACGGGCCGGTGGTGGACACTAACTAAGTCCATCGCCAAACCCCACGCGATAACGTGTTCAAACTTCAGAGAGAAAAGGGAAAGAAAGATTCCCACATTGACAGGACAGGAGAGAGGAGAAGAGGAAGGGGGGGCACCCAAGAGTACGTACTGTCTGTGCATCCATACGAAGGGGCCAATCAGTGGGAGCTGGACTGCAGAGTCCATTAAAGCTCAGAAGTAGACAGTATTGGAGGAATGGGGGATTGAGGATCTTCCAAAGAATGAAAGTTGATTGATTCTGTGCTATTCTTGTTTGGGGGTTGAAGGGGAGATGAGAGCTGAGGAGGGGAAATTAACGTGACCGCTCTCAACCCTTCATTAAGATCTGTCATACATCAGCGACAGAAAACAGAATTTTACTGATTTACTTCTTTTTTACTTTTTCCTTTTTGTTCATGTCGCATGTATGTACATACATACATATTACTTTCATTTAGCTACCATACCATCTCACCATCCTTTTCCTTTCTTCCCAGAACAATTTCGTCAGAAATGGCTCCAGGTACATAAAGAGAGAGAGAGAGAGAGAGAGAGACGGAGAAGGTATGTACATACAGGTTCCTAGCATGCAGTAGCTGATTGCAGAACAAGCTCTCTCGAGCTACCCCTGGATAGTCGGATCGGACGAGTAGAATGTGATTAGATCAGATAGAGAGGCATTACAGCCTCAGAATGCCCAAGGTATGGATGTACCTATACGTAGGACCCTACTATCTCCATAGCAGTATGGACTATGGAGCATCCAACTTCATTGTCCAAATGAGGGGGGAAAGGGCGAAGACCCTCGGGCTTCCCACCGTCGATCTCCACATCGGGAATTGAGTCCCCGGGATTCGTCAGCTGAAACGAATGAGGTTCTTGACTAATGGCAGGTAAGCTACTTACTTAGTTCGGAATTCTCTTAAGAGAACGAAGGATGGAATGTAAGGGGGCTCCATGGCACGCGTGGTATGTGGTCCGTGATTGGCAAGCGAAGGAAAATGAGAAGGACTCCATCGGCATCATGACAACCAGCATGAGAACCAATAACACACGGACAACAGCGTGGCTGTGCCTGTAAGGATTACAAAGTTCCCTCAAAAAGACTTCATCATGCGAGAAAAAGAATTTTATTTTTTCTTTTTGATAATTAATGTTGTATTTTTTATCTCGGAAAAGGGACATCGGCACCATATACCGACCACCACACCTCTACTACTAGTACTCGTACTAGTACTAAACTTGCTAATCTGGGCTAATATCCAAAGTACGAATCTCATTATTGCTGATTATTATGATTACTCCTGTACATCACTCCAGCTACCACCTAATCTTATTTACTAGCCAACGGTCTCATTGGATCTGCATTCCCACCC